CGTATTGTCACAAATCTGTTTCTGTGTTTTTCACTCACTTCATCATTACTGATTGAGTAGTTGTTGGAGCAGGGCCAGGAGCTGGGTCAGAAGTGCTGAAGCTGTAGTTGCTGCTGTGGTTGTAGTCGTGGTGGTCTTTAAGGAAATTAAGGGAGATTACACGTAGCAGAGGATTATTTCAATACTGATACAGTAACTTATGCTCAGGTTTAATCTAAGGTTTAGGCAGAGAGGACACTCACCTCATCTGAGTCAGAACCAGAACCAGAGCTTGAGCGAGCAAAACGCTGGTGCTCCATCTGCACAAGGTTTGACATTACATGCAGTAAATATTTTCACAATAACAGTTATAATATCTACATACAGTATTTGCTCTATGATATCATCATTAAACATGATAATATTATACTTACAGGTTCAGCCACAATGAGGCTCAGGAGGCATCCAAGAACAAGTGCTACCTTCAGCATGGCTGCAGTGATTTTACCTGTTGGAGCAGAAGATCAAAATGACTTTCTGAAGTAGAATAGGATTTGAAAAATTCACTGAATAAATACCAAAACTATAATCTACATAAGGGAAGTCATCACACCTTCAGTAGGTTTTCTCAGAGACAAGAGAAGAGGATGTAGTGTTGCTCTTTGGATGCTGAGCTTCTGTTTTATACCTTTACAGATGCAGAAATATTGCAAAACTGCGATTACGTTTCTCCCTAAGCTTCTAGATGTGCCTAAGATTTAGTGACTTTAAGTTATTAAATTGTGGACAAATATCCCTAATAATGTTCAGGTTTACCTACATTTGAGTGTCTAAATAACATTGTGAAAACCTGTTGAAAGAACCGGTGATTACAACAGTTTCAGCTTATTGTTGGTGAACCGCAAGAGACACAGCAGCTGATTTTCAACATCACTAAGTTTTGTGACTGAGGTTTATATAAAAATAGATGGAGAGAGCTTCTTCTGTGGAAACTGTCAAGTTTTAATGAGAATAATAATCGTAACACGGAGGGGATTGTCAACAAAATCATTGTCTTACTCTTTCTTTTGTTTGATTTGTATATAAATACATACATTTTCTTATGGTAATTTAAACTTCAGCCACATTGTGGTCCATAAAGTTCCTAAGTGCGTTTATTTAATTATGTTTTACTGATGAATTATTTTTAGATAGTGGTTAGATTTTCAGATGTCTTACAGATAACTTAACCCATCACCTCTTTACAGCTTTTTTATGTTTTTAATATTTCTTTGTAATAATTCCAAGATATTCACAAAAATCAAAAGACTGAATCTTTTATTTAAATTAAGCTTTAGAATTGTTTCTTTGCATAGATTTCCTGTTAATCATAAATTACATCAGGACATTAATATATGTTGGTGCAGAACAAATAACTCTACTCCAAACATGCATTTACTAATGTTTTGCAGATTTCACAATTTCAGAATATTTTTTTTGTAAGGTTTAGAATGCTGAGTTCCACATTGAAAGTCATAACATTAACTTATTTCCAAACTATGACATGACAAGCAGAACGCAGTCTTCACTGGGTGTTTGTGAAACAAAACCACTAAGTCACATAATTTGTTTTTAGGAAAACTGTGATATCAAAGTTTCGCAATGTTTTTACCAAGGAGTGTCATAACTGTAACACATGCTCTCCTGAAACTACAATTATATATTTTTTATCTTACATATTAATTAACTGTAATTATAGCGTCCTCATTGACCCTTTGACTTACGTATAAGTGTTGTGGGATTAACATAGATTTTAAAGATTTGATTTCTCAATATATTTGTTCCTAGAAAGGTATAAAAGAAAAGGTCATTCAGATCAACAAACAACGATCTCCTATTTCTTCTACTCTGAGAAAATCTGCTGAAGACGTAAGGATCTCTTTAGCTTGATATTTCTTTTTTTTACTATATTTTTTTCTTTGCGTTTTGATTTCTATTATTCATTTTGTTGAATTAGAATAAATCTGTACTTATTTATTTCTCTCTCAGGAAAGATGACTGCAACCATGTTGAAGGTAGTCATTGTTCTTGCATGCCTGCTGAGTCTAATTGTGGCTGCGCCTGTAAGTATAACATTATTATATTCAATTAAACTAGCAGCGATCACATCTCTGTTACCATTTTTGTTGTAATAAAGTAGAAAGCAGGTGTTAAACCTACAAATTGCACAGGAGCGTTTTGCATGTTTTGACTCTGTTGTAGTAACTGCTTTCTCTCGCTTACTTTTAAACCATTTCTAAGCATCACTGAATGCAATGGATATTAATAATTATAGTGTTATTGTTGTAATAAAGCAGAATATGTTCAACCTACAGATGGAGCATCAGCGCTTTGCCCGTTCCAGCTCTAATGAGGTGANGGCCCACAGGCCACAGCTTGGGGACCCCTGGCTTAGGCAGAGAGGACACTCACCTCATCTGAGTCAGAACCAGAACCAGAGCTTGAGCGAGCAAAACGCTGGTGCTCCATCTGCACAAGGTTTGACATTACATGCAGTAAATATTTTCACAATAACAGTTATAATATCTACATACAGTTTATGCTCTATGATATCATCATTAAACATGATAATATTATACTTACAGGTTCAGCCACAATGAGGCTCAGGAGGCATCCAAGAACAAGTGCTACCTTCAGCATGGCTGCAGTGATTTTACCTGTTGGAGCAGAAGATCAAAATGACTTTCTGAAGTAGAATAGAGTTTGAAAAATTCACTGAATAAATACCAAAACCATAATCTAAAAAAGTCAAGTCATCACACCTTCAGTAGGTTTTCTCAAAGACAAGAGAAGAGGCTGTAGTGTTGGTCTTTGGATGCTGAGCTTCTGTTTTATACCTTTGCAGATGCAGAAATGTTGCAAAACTCTGATTACGTTTTTCCCTAAGCTTTTAGATGTGGTTGCGAATTAGTGACTTTAAGTTATTAAATTGTCTTTAAGTTATTAAAATCTGTTGATGATTACATTAAGACCTTAATACACTTTACTAAATATTAAATCTGTTTGCGCAAAGGACACATTTGGTAATACTCTAATACTCTGCATATGATTTCACATATCTTTTAGAAACAGAACAGAGACCTTTCTAGGATCCTCAAACATGGTTTTAACAAGAGAGCATCTTCTGGCATTTGTCAGTGGGCGGGGCTAACGTTGAGCCTGTCTGAAGTCTGTGGCAGTTTCCTCCATGCAGGAACACAAAGAGCTCTCTTCTGAACTTATTTGAGATATTTCACACCAAATTGGTGATGAAGAGGCTGGAGTTTCTCGTCCACGGTTTGAAATTCACTACAAGAATTCAATGCTGTTATGTGAAGTTATTTCTGTACTTTCCAGTGAAAATTTTGAGTCATAGCAACAGGAAGAAACTATCTGAAGCAGCCAATCAGATGCCTGGGTTTATAGAAGCAGCCCTAATCCCGCCTCCTGAGTTTATGGGTGAAGTTGACGGTTAAAATAAATTTATGACATAAAAACATAGATTGATTAACTCATAAAATAATTCTAGATTTCATTCTCAGCTAAATGCAGATTTCAGTGCATTTAGCTGAGACAATTAATTCTATGGTTAAATTATTTCTGTAGTAATTTCCAGTTATAATACATTAATGACACACGTAAGTAATTATTTCATAAGTTATCTGGCATCTTCACTCTCTGTAGTTGCATAGATATTCTAATTTCAGGTTTAAATTTGAAATTGTCACGTCAAGTGAAAAAAAAAATACAACACACATTTTTATTAAAGCTTCTTTTTAAATCTCTCATCTATTTATATTGAAATCTTCTAAATATAGTGAGCAAAATGGGTAGAATTTAATTTCCCACGCTCAACAGCAGAGGGGAGTGTAAACCCATAACTTGGAAAATTGATGAAATGAATAGATCAACTCTGGGTTGGAAGAGACAAATGGAGGTTTCTGTTCTTGGTGTGTCACTTCTACACAGTTTTATGACAGTTTTCTGTTTTTTATTCTGTCATATAATAAACTTAAGCTTCCATATATCCTGAGATAACCTGAGGGAAATTGCCCAAGTTCTGCAGAATCACCATTATTTGACTCATAAGTGAAATTGGTTTGATAATATTTTTTTCCTCTTGAATGAAATAATTTTGCTGTGGTTGTCTATAAATAGTTTATAAATAGTTGTAAGACATCTGCCAGCACTAAATGGTTCTCACAGGTCTTTTCTTGTGCCTTTCCTACTTCCTGGAGTGTTTTTGTGTTGTCATGAAGCTCTTGCTCTATTTTTACTTTACTCTGTAAAGCACCCTTTCAGATATATCTATTTTTTAAATTAATTTTTCTATAAACACATGCATGTAATAGTATGAGACAAACATCATTCCATTAAAACTAATATTTTCTTCATGAATAAGCCTTTATCAATATTGATGACAAATGATATTTAAACTTCAACATAACAAAGTTTCTATTGCTCTTACAATAACCATGCATGTCTTGATGATGAAGTGCAAAATATAATGAAAGACAACATAGCAAAAGTCTGTATTGAAAATGTTTATTTTTAGTCAAAACTTGGTGAAGAATGACATTTGTCCAATTGTTGAGTGAATAGAAAGCATCTGGTTAAAACAGCAGCCACTGAATCTGAAATGAGATGAGAAAATAATACAGTTATAGATTCTCTATAAACCAACTTCTCAATAACAGACTAAGTTAAATATCAATGATTATTTACAGTAGAATTGTCACAAATCTGTTTCTGTGTTTTTCACTCACTTCATCATTACTGATTGAGTAGTTGTTGGAGCAGGGCCAGGAGCTGGGCCAGAGCTGCTGAAGCTGTAGTTGCTGCTGTGGTTGTAGTCGTGGTGGTCTTTAAGGAAATTAAGGGAGATTACACGTAGCAGAGGATTATTT